GCTATGATGTTGCAGAAGAGTATTGTATATCCCACTGTTGTTATTGTTGTTGTTGTGTGCTGTCAGTCAGATCGGACCCATTGCTGACCCTCCAATGGGTTTTCAGAGGCACTAAATCACATGGGAAGAGACTGCCAATCTTTCACCGGTGGAGCAGGTGGTGGATTTGAACTATAGGCCTTTGGGTTGACAGTGCAACTTCTTCCACTAGGCCACCAGAGCTCCCATAGATGGCCTAAAGAACAAACATATCTCTTAGAGAAAGTACAGCCAAAGTGCCCTTTGGAGACAAAGATGACAAAGATTCATCTCATCTTATATGTGTTAGATATGATACTGGAAGAACTCAGTCCTTGGAGAGGGATATCATGCTTGGAAATGTGGAGGATCAGTGAAAGACAGCAAGACCCTCAACCAGGTGGACTGACAGACTGACTGCTGCAATGGGTTCAAGTATGTCAGAAATGACGAGGATGGAATATGAGAGTTCAGATCTGTCAATCATAGGGCTGCTATAAGTCATACTTGACTCAACGGTACAGTAACAACAACATAATCAAACTTAAGATAATTAAATTGCAAAATTCCATTAAGGCAAAGGGCCCAACTTACTATACAATTCTATCAACTCTACTCAGTTGAACACAGTACTGTATAGTACCAACTGTCAAGTTGGAACCAACTTTTATAGCTGACATCCAAGCAGGTTTTCAGAAGTTGTAAATAGCACAGGAAGAATCTGCTCATCTTTCTCATGTTGAGCAAATGGTGGATTCGAACCTTTGGGTGGGGAGTCCAACTCTTTGCCCTCTAGGCCACTAGAGCTCCCCTGTGCTAATATGAGCAGGATCTAAAAAAGTCAACATAAAAGAGATATTTTATAATTTTGATAAATTTACCAATAATATTCTTAAAGTTCTTAGCAATTAAGCTGCTTCTGTGAACTATGGTTGATTATATAATTACTAGTCCTGTAAGAAAATCCACTCTAAGATTAATGGGAATGAAAAAAAGAAAAACAGTATCTTCATTTTATACAAAAACTAAAAACAAAATCTGCCATACTTTCTTCTGATATTTCTCTACACTTCAGTTCATGTATTTATTAACCCTCTACATTCCTCACCTTTCTGATTTGTGGCCACAATCTCCAACCCAATGCAATCTCCACTACACTTCAAGCTCATTGCCACAGTCACCAAGTCATGTCAACCCACCTGGCTGAGTCTTCTTTCTCTTTAACCACCTCTCCCCCTCCCAAACATGATGTCCCTCTCCAAGGAATAACTTCTAACATGCCCAAAATATGTGAAACGAAGTTTTACCATCTTGACCTCCAAGAAGCATCATGGCTGCACTTTCTCCAAGTCCTATCTGTTTATTCTTTTGGCAGCCTTTGGGATCTTCAGCACTCTACTTCAACAGCTCAAAGGCATCAATAATTCTTCTGTCATATTTAGTTGATATCCAACTCTCAGATGCACAGCAACTGAGTCAGGCACACACTAGTCCTCAAACTGACATAATTTCTCAATAATTTGGAAAGGTCCCCCACTATAGACTATTCCATTGCAATACATATCCTGATCTCCTCATTGATGATACCAAGTATATTGATTGTGGATCCAAGAAAGTTAAGTTACTGACAGTCTTCTTCTTTTCTCTGTTCATCATGATGTTCCCTATCAGTCCAGGGGCAAGGATTTTTCTTTCTTGACATCGAAATACAACCCATACTGAAGGCTGAAATGTTTAAGCTTGTGCAGCAAGTGCTTCAGGTTCTTCTTTCGGCAAGCAAAGCTGTATTATCAGCATGACAAAGGTTATTCATGAGTCTTCTTCCAATCCTGATACCAAATTTTTCTTCAATATCAGTATGTTGCTGTGGTTGTTATGCACCGTCGAGTCAGAACCAACTCATTGCTGGCCCTCAACTAGGTTTTCAGAGGCTGTAAACTGCAAGGGAGGAGACTTCCTATCTTTCTCCCACAAAGCAGCTAGGGGACAGGAACCGTTGCAGCATAGGTTTTTATCACTATGCCACCAGAGCTCCCATATATTCGTATAATTGAAGACAATAATTCAAGTAGCTAGACTATATGAAGAATGTGACATTAGGTTTGGAGGAAGGTTTATCAACAACCTACATTGTGCAGATGACAAAACCTTGCTTGCAGAAAATTTAAAAGATTTGAGGCACTCAAAAAATCAAAGACTACAGTCTTCAATATGAATTACATTTTAACATCAAGAAAGTAAAACTCCTCACTACTGGACATCATGAAAGATGGAGAGGAAAAAATGACGTGAAGTCCTCAATGATTTAATTTCACTGGATCTACAATCAACACTCGTGATAGCAGTAGTCAAGAAATCAAAAGATGTGCTGCTTTGAGAAAACCTGCTGTCAAGGACTTTTGGTGCAGGTGAAGAGTACTGCATATACCATGGCCTGCCAAACGAACAAACAAATCTGTTTAAGAGAAAGTGTAACTAGGGTGCTGCTTAGAGACAAAGAGGGTGCAACTTCATCTCATACACTTTAGGCATCTTGTTAGTAGGGGACAGCCCTTTGTAAGAGACATCATACTTGGAATAGCAGAGGGTCAGGAGAAGAGAGGAAGACCCTCAACAAGATGGTTTATCTCCTTGGGCTTGAGCATGGCAGTCTGTGATAGTGATGTTGGATAGGACAAGGTTTTGTTCACAGTCACTTTGAGTCACAGTTGACTCAATGGCACCTAACAACAACACGATGAATACCCACTTACTTGATTTTCTTTAAAAAGAAAGCACTTCTACAACTGATGTATTAAACAATCAATCACACATCAAGTCTGACACTAGGGGAAGATTATATGGCTATATTTGAAAAGACAATTTTTTTCCTTCAACTTGAAGTATTCTAAGAAAATCTATATGCTAAAATATGTAATTTCAAGAAATTTACTACAGACATTCAAATACTCTAAATCAATCTCAATAATTTCAAAGCACAGTAGGATCTCAATCTGAGGAAAGTTTTAGGAAAAGAACTATTTATTCTGAAAAGTTCAGGCATTCATGTACGAGAACAAAGTAAATTGATTAAATCAGTTCTATAATTTTATATAAATAAATCTATAAAGTAAGGATAATACCACCAAAGAAAGAACCTAGCTTCAATAGATTAACAAAAAGGTTGGGTTTCAAAGATAGAAAATTCTCGATAACTTAACTGGAAGAATCCCAGTAGCATATTAAATTCCTTACACTCTCATTTAAAATGGGAAACCCATTTCTAAGCATATGTGCATATATACCTTAGCCTCTTCATGCCTGCTTGCCTATCCCACAGAGAAGGAAGGGTATTTAGTTAAGCATATGTTTGCGAATGAAGACAGGAAAATTCCAACTTAAAATCCAAATATTTTACTTGTTTAATTCTGGTATCTTATTGGCCCATATGCTGCCTCCTCCTCACAGTATGGTACCCTGCACATTTTTTATCCTAGTTTTTTACTTCCTTTTAAAGTATATCAATAATACCAAGCAGACAGAATTGAGAAGAAATACAGTATGAATGAGAAAGCAGAGCAAAACTGATGACGATTTAAATGAATACGGATAAACTTGCTGAAGATATTATGTGCTCCATAAATGCTTGTTGAAATGTTTTGCAACTTAAAGTAAAACACTTATCTCTTCCCCTAATTAAGAATCTTCATGAGTTCATTATCACCACCAGTTCAGTATAATCTAACAGAAAACATCTGATGGTACTTTTAAATGCTCAGGACAGCAATTCAGAGTCAATCTGCCTGACAACTACTGCAGCAGGAGAGATAAATACTAATGAACACAGAGAAATAGAGGCACGTACATAAAGTGTTGAATCCACTATGTGATTAAATAGATTTGTTCTTGCCCAAGACCAGCCCTTAATTCAATGCTGAGAGGTAGAACTTGCTCATAGCTGATCCTCTGTTGGGTTTCTGAGGCTATAAATCCCACAAGAAGGGATTGCTCATCTTTCTCTTTAGGAGTCACTGGTAACTTTGAACATCAGAGGGGTACAACCTTTGGGTTAGCAGAACAATTCTCTAAAGACAATGCACCAGCGTTCCTAAGGCCAACCCTACTTCTAGATTTTCTACTGAGAACCCATTTATGTTCTTTCTCCCATCCCTTCCTTTTTGGTTTAAGTTAGTTGGATCTCAATTTCTATAGTTTACAACTAAAAGAATAATACTGGGAGAGATGATTCCTGTCCAGGACAAGAGAAAATGAATACTTATTAATTAATACTTATATAAAGAGCAGTAATAGTGCAATGGTTAAGCACTTTCTCCCTACCTTTCTTGTTTTCATTTGTCCTTCTTTCCTCTTCCTATCTTCTGAGTTTTGTTTTTGAACAAATTCACTTTTTGGCCTTGAAGATTGATTGTTCTGAGAAATATGTTCCTAATGGATGTTACTGATTTACTTACAGGCCTACCTATTGTTTGGATAAACAGTAGTCCCTGGAGGTGGGCTCAACTCCAGCTTTGAAGTCTGCCTAAGTAAGGACTATAGTCTTGGCAGTTCCTTCTTCTGCCCAGAAAGTCTCTTTCCTCTTTGACTCTGAATTTTGTTCTACCTTTTTTCCTCCACTCATAATGAGACTTCCCTGGCTGTGTTGGTCGGATGGGTCCAGAGTGGTAGGTGAGCATCAGCTACTGCTGGTCTCCAGGTAATGAAGGCTGTGCTTCATGTGATCCATCAGTCCTTTGGTTTTCTTGGGACTTTAAGGATTTCTGGAAGATTTTCTTTTAGAATAAATAATTAATAGAACCATTGGGGAAAATGCTACCTGGGAATATGACCATGATTAGTTAGAGGCAGTATCTTAATAAAAATGGAAAACATGCATTCTTACTACTTTTTAATATAATTAAAATTTTAAATATACCAACAGAAGATCAAAGAATTCAAAATCTGAATATGAAATTAGTTCATCTGCTGGATGGAAACTACCTTACCTGCATTGAAATAAGAATGAAATCAATTAGGCTCCCAATTCCACAAAATCCTACAGTACAAAACTTTAACAAACCTACAAAAGAAGGCAAAATTATTAAAAAAGTTTGAAAAATCTTAGAAACAAGATTTTTAACTTTTCTATTAAACCACTGCATATACCACAGATTTTTAAAGTGAAAAATATAAAATGTACATTTTTAAAAATCAAATCTTCATCTGAAAATATGCTAAACTTAAATTTTTACACTGAAAAGTTGAGAAAATACTTAATTCACTCAACAAGAAAATATTAAGATATGAAAAAATTAAATGTAATCATCCAAAATTTCTTGAGAAATGGCCTAAGAAATTTCCAAGCCTCAATACATCAGGATTATAGGACATCTTTTAGCCCTAAAATCTTTATTTAGATTTATTACACCAAGAATCCAAGTATCAACATGCATTTACAGTAGAGAGGTTAAGTATTATCATGTCCATATAAAATTAATCAAAGAAAAATATTAACCCTGTCATAAATATGCAAAATCTAATTAACTCAATTACCTTGAATTTACTCAGTTTTTTTAGATTTGTTATGTGCTGTCACATCGCTTTTGACTCATGGCAACCCCATGTATAGCAGCCCTGAGACCTGTTCTATTCTGTGCCAACTTTACTGTCCCTGACACACCTACCCTCATTACCCCAGTCACTGTATCAGTCCATCTCATCGATGGTCTCCCTCTCTTTCTCCATCCCACTATCCTTCCAAGCATGATGTCCTTCTCCAAAGGATCAGTTCCTCCTTGCAACAAGCCCAAAGTATGTCAGACAAAGCCTCAGAATCCTTGCCTCCAAGGAGCAGCCTAGTTTCCTCCTCTCCAGGACGAACCCGTTTATTCTCCTGACAGTCCATTGTATATTCAACACTCTTCACCAACACCACAGCTCAAAGACATCGATTCACTTTCAATCATTCCTACTCATTGTCCAGCTCTCTGATGCACAGCAAGCAATTGCAAAGACTATGGCCTGGATCAGGTGCACTTCAGTCTCCAAACTGACATCGTTACTCTTCAGTATTCTGGAGAGGTCCCTGACAGATGACTTTCCCAATGCAAGTAGTCTTTTGATTTCCTATCTGCTGGTACCAAGAGTGCTGACTGTGGAACCAAGCAACACTAAAGCTGTTAATAATCTCAATCTCTTCACCACCTGGAGTCAGTCTCTGTGTGTGTGTGTGTGTGTGTGTGTGCGCGCGCGCGCGCCTGCTGTCTTTAACAAAATTAAAAATTCTGAACCGAGTATAGCATACACTTATGTCCTTAGTGCCAACCCAAGAGTTAGGATACTAAGTGGAAAATAAAGCATAAAATCCAGGATTATATAAAGACATAACCCAAATTAGGATGATCAAATTAGAACAGACAGATTTGGAGGAAATAGGATGAGTAATCTTCTCTTCTTTATTTAAACAAAATCATTCAAGAATCCCACTTGAAATAATGAAATGGTGCAAAACAAGAGTCTTCGTGAAAGGGTAGCTCTGAGTATAAACTACAAATAGATGCCAGCTGAAAACATGTTAGACAATGAGATCACCTCTTTCATACAATCTGGAAATACAACTTGAAATATGTAGTTATATTAGGTGTTCTTTATCTCATTAGCATTAGACATAAAGCACAACAAAAGCACAGCACATATTGGGAATAATATAAATATGATATAAAAGTTTGGTTTTCCTTTTCTTCAAAACATTTCTTACCTAAAACAAGTTTCCATTTGACAGATTCCAACTTAAGGCAACCTTGTATGTATCAGAGCAGAACTGTGTACTATGGACTTTTCAATGGCTGACATTTTAGAAGTAGACTGCCAGGCCTTTCTTCCAAGGTGCTTTTGAGTGACTGTTAACAACCATCCTTTGTTAGCATCTGTGCACTGAGTAAGTCGTTTTAAACAATGCTTCTCCCTTCCCATTCCAACCTTTTAAGAGCTTTAAAAAAATAATTACATATAGCTGTGTTTACTTACAGGAGAGCATTATGCTGAATAAACTAACTCAGTTCCATAAGGACAAATACTATATAAAACCATTATTGTTGAATGAATATGAGGATCCAAGGGGTGGGAGGGTATAAACAGAGGGGTGAGACTGGGTGTTGGGGGGGTTGTGTTAATCACAGGGTCATATAATTTGATGGGCTGGGGGGGTTGGTGAAGAAAATGGGAAAGTTCTTGTGAGGAAAACAATGTATTCTAACTGTATAAACAAACCAGTTGAAGAATAAGAATAAGGAATAAGGAATAAGGAATAAGGAATAAGGAATAAGGAATAAGGAATAAGGAATAAGGAATAAGGAATAAGAATAAGAATAAGAATAAGAATAAGAATAAGAATAAAGAACTACTCTCTGCCTTGTTATCTTCTGCCATCCTCATCATCCTTTTTTAAAAAAAATTAATTGTGATTATAATGAACCTTTACAGTTAGATTTTCATTCATTCACTGTTGTACATTTTACCATCTCTCCCTCCTTCCCCATCCCACAGTTTGTTGGTTTTTTTAATTTTTTATATATTCATGCATTGTTGCACAATTACCTACCTCAGCCCTCTCCCCAGTCCTCTTTGTAATGATGTGCCTCTTATTCTGGGCTGTTGTCGTACATATAATGCCTAATCATATATTCCTTTTAAACAATTCTTTCCTTCATCTGTTCAAATGCACTCATCATCCAGACAAATATATAAACACCCATGTTTATTGTTGAAATTTTTTGTGATAGTAAGGTGGAAGCAACCAAAGTGCCCACCAGCAAACAAATGGATAGAAAAACTATGGTATATCCATACAATGGACTACTTTGCAGCACTGTAAAACAATTAACTCGTACAATATTACACAACATGGGAGGGAGACATCATGTGAGTGAAATATCTCAGTCACAAAAGGACAAATACTGCATAGCACCACTGTTATAAAGCAGGTCTGACATGGAGAGTTGGGAGGAGAATAGTATAAGAGTAGAGAGATCATTTAAAACTTAGTTTAGATATTTAGTTAGTTTAGTGGCAAGAGCTGTGCTGTAATCCCAAAGGCACCCAGTTCAAATACACCAGCTACTCTGCGAGAAGGTGAGCAACTCCTCCCATGTGATTAAGTACCTCTGAAAACCTGCCGAAAGATCAGCTATGGGTCAGTCCTGATTCAACTGTACACAAAACTCAGGAAAACTTTGTCTAAGATCTCCAAAATTAATTTACTGCAATATCTACACAATGGGGGAGGAGCCTGTCCTTCATTCTCAAGAGAGTAGTAATATTCCATGTTTTTATTTATTAGTATATATTTTTTTCTCTTCCCTAATTATTCTGTGAGTAACCTGAAGTCAAGGTTTTGTCATTCTCATTATTATTAGTATACTATCTTGTACAAAAGAGGCACTTGACTCAATTACTAAAGAGAAAAATATCAACAGGAAATTATCTTATTTGCAAATAAACATTGATCAAGTTAAATGATGCAAAACAGTACACAATCTATAGTTCCTTTATTAAAATCTGTATCAACTATTATTCATGTAGAGGTTTAATTACTTGAGCATCAATACCAGGGCTTTTTTTTTAAATGTTAAGGGATTTATGAACTATCAAAAGTAGACTGTTTTAATAAAAAATATTACATTCAATCTCTTTGTACAGATACTATTTACTATCTTCTTACTGTTGAAAAAATATAAGGTGAAGATTTTTATACAATTAATGTTCTAAAAAGATGTTACTACTCAGAAAATCAAAAGACAAAGTACACTGGGAAAATATGCAGTCAGGGACCTCTCCAGAGTACTGAAAAGGGAAGATAACAGTCTAGAGATTAAGATGTGCCTGATTCTGCCATGGTCTTCACAATTACTTGCTATGTACGCCTCTGAGAGCTTGACAATGACTGCGGATGACAGAAAAACAATCGATGCCTTTGAGTTGTGGTACTGTAGGACAGTCTTGAACATACCATGGAATGCCAAGAAAATAAACAGGTCTGTCTTGGAGAGGGTGAAACCAAGTTTCTCTTTGGAAGCTAGGATTTGGAAGCTTCTATCTCACATACTAAGGACATCATCCTCGGAAGAGCAGGGGGACAGCACAGCAGAGGAAGATCTCAGCTAAGATGGATTGACACAGTAACTGAGGTAATGGGGGTAGGTGTGCCAGAGTCAGTGAGACTGGCTCAGGTCTGGGCAGGCTTCAGAGCTGATGTACATAGGGTAGCTATGAGTTGCAGGAGACAATAAGGCATATAACAACAAAAAGAACAATCAAGGTTCATTTTTATACTGAACCACTATTATTGTGGATATATACTTTCATAACACTATACTGCCTAACGACTATATTAATAAAGCTCATATTTAGGACTTAAACTTTCCATTTTAAAAGCACAAATTAACAACAGGATTTAGTTAGATATAAGGTAAAAACAACAGAGAATTTTGTTTTATATTTCTTGTTTCAATACAAGTTGTATCTTGTAATATTTTTCTGCTGCATAACTGCATCACAGAATGAAGATTATTTTATATTGAAACTGTTACCCATTAAAATCACAAGTGTTCTATAATGATTTGTTATTATTTATTATTATTATTACTATTGCCTACACCTATAAAGAAGAGCTTTCAATTCTTAGAAAAGTACAACTTGCAAATCTATTTGTCCCATAGTAAGTGATTATCACATTCAACTTGGTTCAAACTGGTACCTTCAAAGTTGATGAGACTATGATAACTAAAGGTTTTTAAAGATTTGGGCATAAAGAGACATAACACTGTTATTCTCATAATTTTAAAAAGATTTTAAAAAAATAAAAAAAGATTCCAAAATGAATATCATTAGGAAAAGAGTATTCTTCCTCTTAATTGCCTCCAAAATAGCTATTATCTTTGAAAATACATAATCTTTTAATGCTACAGATGGGCAAATAAAATATGCTAGTTATTGCATATTTTAAAAAAAACCAGATGTTAACACACAGTTAATGCAGAATATTATTAGAATAAGAGTTTAGAATAAAAAAGACTTCCAGCT